TGAATCGAGTTGCCTCCTTTACTGCCCTGAGGAAATTTCAAGTCCTGCACCTGGCCCTCAGTAATGAGCACTGCAACATCCAAAACTAAGCAGACCAGAGGGGAAAAAAAAAGAAAGTGGTAAGAAAGGAGAATGCAGAGAAAGTCTCTTGGCTAGAATGCAATATGCCAGATGACAATATTTCCCCCCACTCTTTATTTACTTTTCTCACACTGCTGTCCTCATTTGCCACTGTAAGACAGATATGTACTGCATGTTTCAAGTATGCAGAGTTAGTCTCTTTAACGAAACCTAGTGCACGCTACTAAAATGACAGCGCTTTAATGGTGGTAACATGACATCAAAACTTGTTTTAATTTGTGCCCTCAAAACATGCATTTAAAAATACCACACATGCTGCAGAGAAATGTTTATTTTGAAGCTGCTAACATCTATGCAGTATCCTCTGCTAACAAATTTAGAACCTTAAGTATTGATTTAGATAGTTTTTTAAACAGTCAGCAAATGAATACCTAAGTATACTTATGCTGTGTATTTAGCTAAACCAGTACTTGTATCTAAAAATAATTTCTAATTTTTTCCCTAAATCTAATTCTGTATAAAGGTTTATAGGAAACAATTTTATTGGTTCTGCTAAAAACCATTTAAATTGAAAATTTAGATGCCACTTGGCCTTACTTGAAGTTTTAATTTTATGACGTATATTGGGAGGCTTTCATGAGATTACCATCGAAGGCTGGATTCCCTTGGATATGTAGAATCACATAGGTCAGAGTGGTCAATTTGTCGAGAAATATCTCCATTATATTAAACTGGTCTAACTATAGGTATAAACTATAGACTGACAAGTATGAAATTAGGTTTGAATTAGACAAGTATGAATTAGATTTCTCTCTCTCTAAGCCACATATGTATGTGCGCTGTGAATCCAGTCTTGCATGGCATCAGTAATGTGTTACTAACGATGACTTCAAGACAGCTTATCACAAGAAGTGATGTTCAGACAGTTTACTGAGCTCCACAGAACTGCTTGTGTACATCCTGAGAGAGAGATTCTGTGATTCTAACCACATTCCTTCAGAAACAACCGGTGCAGTTACTCTGATAACGACTGTAACACCTTTTCCCATCCTTTCCCAATTTCTTCCTACTGAAATTAATAACTAGGCAGAATCATTTCTACAGTTACAAATATGCAGACACTGAAACGTGGAAAGTCTCATTTCTGAAGTCTATTCCAAGTCTCCATCTTGGTATCCCTCAAATTGGCAGACTTTCAGCTTCCTTGTACCTCACTGAGACTACATTAATCTCTATAATAAAATGAAGGAATTTTATTTTATGCATAGAAATTATTTTTGCTTTAACACATCCTGTGTACCAATATTTGCACATCTGTAATACCAAACCCCTACATTTCTCTGTCACCATTTAAATTCCAAATTATGCTCCAACTATCTTCAGCTATTTTGCAGTCTCTGGAGCATACCCATTCTGCATTATGGGAGATGTAGTTCACTGAACACGTTTTTACCTGAAGGCAGTCATGTTTAATATAAACATTTGGCCTATGTTCTGAGTGCCTAAAATATTTAACTGGCAGAGTATGTTGCAAAAAAGTAATTTAAATTCATTAGGAAGAGTTTATATATAACAGGAAAGCATTTCTGCAGCTCTATAGCAAGCAGTTACCTCAAAAATCCACACTCTGCCATTTAAGCACTCTTCATATCCATACATACTACTAATGATTTTTCAGTGGTAAATCAACTTTGTAACATCAACTACTTTCTGTTTTACACTGTTTTAATGAAGAACTAAACAAGAAAAGCGTGCCTCCTCCGCGTAGGAGCATCTACACCTTTAATCCAAATGCTGCACAGCTCAGCTTTCAGAGTATGTCGCTATCTAGAGTACTTTTTCCTGATTCTGTTTAAAGCAATGCATAGCACTTTAAATTACGCTTAAAAAGAAATTTACTTACCGATATTTTCTGTGGGCATTGAGACTCTAGTTGGTTCTAAGAGATTATCGGCCAAGACAAAAGCCCCTTCTTCTAACGTATCAAGTAGCATTGTGGCTGCATGGGCTTGTTCTGAAGAATTCATGTCCTTCCAGGACTCCAGAGCTTCAGGCCTGAGCAGGTTGTCCACTGTATCCACAATTGCCTGCATTCATTAGAAAACTATCATTAGGTCTGACTGCCCTAGGCACCTGGGGAAAATTTCCAACGTTATCTCGTGACAATTATAATACTTAACTGTCAGAATGATTTACTGTGATTTAATGGCACTAGAAAACTATTTTCAACATAAAAATATTTTCCATCCTCTCGCTGGATTAACATTAATAGTGCAGTTAGCCATTAGCATTGTGTGGTCTCTAAGCGGTAAACATGCAGGTTTGATTCGTCTTGTGTCAGATAGAAAGATGGTCTTATTAATGTGCTGAAAAATGTAAAAATAAATGCCAGAAGTTTTGCCTGCAGCTTTCATCTTAAAGTTAATGTCAAAATGTGTAACTTCTATTTAAAAATATTAACGTCAAAATTGGCATTCTGCGGTTTAGACTAAAACAACAATAATACTCTTCTGGAAACTTAGCCCAACTCATGTAGCCATAGCACTATGAAGAACTGCTTGTCTATGATAAACTGCCTTCCTTATTACAGGAGGCATGAAACGAAGCTGACTCAGTGGATATAAATTACCCTGGGCCACTCTCACTCCCTCTCCTGTTCCTGTACCTGTTCATAGATACTTAAAAAGATTACTAACTGCCATTCCTGCACAAAGGTCAGTTAAAAAAGGAAATCAATAGAGCAAACAAGATGTCCACTGACTGTCTCTGTTATCAGTGAAGGCAAAACTGTAAAACTGAATCAACCTGCCATTTTAAAAAGTCTTTCTTTTTAAAGTAACAACTCTATCATCATGTTTTCAGGTTCATTAAGCTGCATATAAAGTAACAGTAAATAAGGAAGAAGAAGAATTCAGTGACATGATTACATTATTTTTACAAAATAATCCAATCAATCAGAGTAATCCGTTAATCAATTGAAGGCAAGCTCTTACATTAATGCATAATGTAGCTGTGCATTGAGTATGCTGTGCATCGAGTATGCCATACATTGCTGAAACACCCTGTTTACTCTGTCCCATTTACCTAGTCATAATGTGTCATTAAGCACATATATAATTTGTTTGATCAATTTAAAAGCATTGGGAATGGAAACAGAATGCATTGTACAAACAGAAAGACGTCGGTCTGGAATACTATATTGTGCAAATAAACGAATAGGAAAAGTTGGTCAAGGCTATCGTCGAGCAAGATTAATTAGCCTAATCCATTTTAATATCCTCTTTCTGTCTGCATTGTGAGCTACCATGACCTTCCTGGCAGGTGGAAGATAGTTCGAAGTGGCATTAAAGCCTTTTTTCTTTCTCTAATGGGAGACAGAATAGTCAAAATGCTCGCACTGATACTGCTGCAGCCATTAACTAGAGTGGAACAGAAATTGGTCTGCAGAGGCCAGATTCATTAGTCACCAAGAAATACAGATTGGAGCCTCTAATCTGAGGTACAAATGAATCCTCTGTCACAAAGTGGGAACTTGCTTCATTTGCATAGTGTAAGTCAGCTTTTGATTTGTAATTTCAAGAGGTTTATTAGTCTTATCTAAGCAGAGAAGCCCATTTGAGACCTACAGAAAATGACACTGGTCGGAAATTAAGGTTGTGTATCTCCATATAGCACTGACGGTATGCATTCATTAATATGAAACACTTTTTATATATTATGGGATAATCTAACTCTGCATTTTTCCTGTGGAAAATGATCACCTGCCCAGTAATATTTCTGAGGCGTTCTCTCCTCTCAGACAGAGGCAAGCGGGCGGTGGGAAGACTCCGCAGCCCCTGTATCGCAGCTGTCAGAGCAACCCCATCGCTGCTCTTCTCACGTTCATGTTTACTATTGAAAATGAAGCACTAAAACTCAGCCTACTCAAACCATACCTGCTGCATTTCCCTTTACTATTAAAAAATATTTTATAATAAAAAACTATTACAAGCATTCTTATTTGAGAAGTGAATTTCTCTCCAGATCTTTGTCTCTTTTTGTCAAATTCGTGCATAACTGGACATCTCTCATCCACTTCCTGGGCTGCAGGATAAAAGACAGAAGCACCTTGTACAGAGAAATGCCTCTTCAGTAAGAGTCTGAATTATTTTATTATGTTGCAAAGTAATTCAAAGTTCTTTTCAAAAATCATTCTTATGTTTTACCTCAGAGGGTGTAAATAAATATCAGTATTTTAAAACTTTGAAAATATCAGTATTTTAAACTTTGAAAAAATGTGCCAAAAGATTTTACAGAGCCAGATGTGATCTGTTCTAGGACTTTTTCCTCTTCTCCACAGGTGTGAGGTGGCATTACTGGCATTGTACTGCAAAGCAGGAGCTGGCCACTATGGACAACCATTCTAAGGCACATGAAAGAAACTGAAAATTGGGTAGCAATGTGTTACATGCCTTCCACATAGCCTGGTTAATGGGACACGTGGCACACATTTTACTAGTAAAGTCAGAGTAATGTTTGTCTTTACATTTTATCCTGAAATGACTGAATTTGGCCTTTTTAACAACTCTTAAAACTGTAAGAAAGAGTGATTTTACTAGGTATAAGAATACACAAAGAACAAGGCAAGCTATATAATGCACGTTTTTCATGCAAGCGAATTAACTCTAAACAGTCTTTGATATAAAATACTACCAAGCTGAAGTAATTTCTGTTAAGTTGCCAGCTTTTTCCTCTATCCAAAGCTGTATTATGACAGAGATGCTACTTCCAATTCAGATAACAACCATTTCTGCTCTTTCAGTTTTGAACAAGTTGAGGTAAAAGCGGTATAAACTTTGATCTTTAATTTGTTTTTCTGAGTGTTATACCTGTGCAAAGCCAACATTTGTACAGCTGATATGGGGCACAATACACATTTATCAAAGACTGAAATACATAGGATCATGCAGCAAGATGATAAAGCGTGGCAGGTTGCTGAAGCAGGGAGAAAGCAGGGTGACAGCACAGGAGAGATACCTTAAGGTAAGCCCTGCATGTCTTCTCTCGTTTTTGGAGCTTTTTAGTAAGAAAAAAGAAAATCAGAAGTTAGACACATTCTGGATAGCTTCAGAAATATAAAAAAAAAAAATAGACTGGTGTTTCAAATCCTAAATTTGAACTATAGCCTGGAGATTAATCTAGTTTCTGTCCAGTGATGACTATAAAAATCATCACACAGGCAACATTTTTCCCCAACCTTCATACAAGTGCCCGACATATTTGCCCAAACGGTGGGATTTGTGTGAAAAGGTCAAAGGAGAAAATCCCTGTGTGGGCACTTGATCTGTCTCTGGGAAAACTCTTTAAGGGCAGCTAGAGATTGTAAATAAAACTATTGCCAAAATAACAGAGGAGTGCACGGAGCTCTCTCTCTAACAGAGGCTGAAAAAATGTTTTGTTTGTAGCTTGCTGACTAAGCTGACGCAAGGAAGAGGACGAGAAATAAAGCATTTCCTCTGAGAAAAAGTGGAATGGTAGTAGCAGCTGTGATTTGTATTTAAACCACAAAGACACAAGTTTTCTCTGAAATGTTTCTCTGAACATCATTGTGGAGAAAACACTTATCTGTGCTTTAGATATGCATATTAAGGCATTTTTATAAAGATCAATTGTAAGCGATGTTGGTGTCTTAAAAGGCTAGGAAAGTGCTATTATTCTGCAGGAAGTCAGATTAAAATAAAACCCTGCACCCATGCAGAATCCCACTGATTTTATTATATGTCCAAGGTTAAAAGGATCACTGGATAAACATGCAGATTTGTTACAGAATTTCTGAGAGCTAATGCCCATTTCTCTCACACTAGTTATAACGCATTCCAGATTTTAACAAGGACACAGCTCTGTATTTTAGGACCAGCCAGCTATTGTGAATTATATCTTACTCCCTAAAGAAGGTAATTGGAACTTTCCGTTGTGTATTTACTGCTGTTTTCTCTTACATGTTTATCTCAGAACTATAAGCACGCAGGAACAAAGTATAGATTAATATTTCTGAAAGTAAAAAAATAAGAAAAACAAAGGCAATGGTTATCCCAGCAGGAGGAGGTGACAGGAGGTGTGTACCTTGTTATAACTCCTTCCAGCAGAGTCCTTTTCACTGGGCCGCAGTTCTTGCAGCTGAGCATCCAAGATATCCACGAGCTGCTCCATCAGCCTCACTGATGAACTAACATCGCCAGCGAAGACCGGTCCTTTGGTGTGTTTAGCCAGTTCATTGGCCAGACTAGCAGCATTTTCTCCGCTTCTGATCTGAAATGACAATTTATATTATCTCAGCAGGGTCCCTTGTTCTGCTTGCGGCTCTTAATTCCAATTCCCCATATACCTTTGTTGTGGTGAAATAACCATTTGCACATACATTGAAATCTGCAACTAATTGAGACCAATAACGTTCTCTTTATCTCAGAAGATTAAAGGTTCTTAGATCCGTGACACACAAAAGCAGTTCTTAACAGCCATCAAAACCAGAAATCAGACTGGGACTTTTGGGCTAGATCTTCTGTTCATCCTCACTTTTATTTTACTGCCGCTATCAGACAGTAAGAAATCTATTTGTTCATAGCAGTGCTCAAGGCATTTGAAAGTCAAGTAGCCTGGTACTGACAACAAATTATCCAGTTTTCATAAACTTAGTAAATCTCAGTAGGGAGGGAAAACACGGAAAGTGGCTCGGTGCTCTAATCACACCGTTATTAATGCACTCAGCCAAAATTCTATTTATTATAGTATAATTTTTCCTGAATCAAAAAACCTTGGTGTATACTGCAGTTTTTGCTGCATGATTTACAATATTTGATTTATTAGGCAAATATAGCTTCTGGTTTTTGAACACCAGCAAAGCTACTTCACTAGAGAGTGATGAAAACACATAATCACAGATTCAATACAAGAATTTAGAGGGAGAGTGTACCAAAACACACATATGAACCTGTTGGCGCACACCAAGTGCACCTAACTCCTTCTATTTTAAATGAACAGAGAATAATAAAGAGAGCTTCAACAAACTGGATTATTAATGCTCAGAGTTAAAATCCTTAATCACCAGTGGACATCAGATTAAAAGGTTTCAACCAACCTTCTGAGCCAGCTGATTTACCCAATGTGAGGTGCAGTTGCTAAGATCAGGGCCTTTGGGGTTCCACGTTCCGGTTAAGATCACGCAGAGATACGAGGCAGTTCCTACAACAGATGTAGAAAACTACAGTGAAATGGAAACCATTTTTCCGCATGCATTCAGGAAATCAGCGACAATCCTAAGCAATGTTAAATTCTGAATGCTGCTAATTGCAGTAGTTGACAATAATTGACAAAAACGTAAGGAAATAATGTAGATTACAAACAGCAATAAAAAAGTCAGTGAAAAGTACCTGACGTTTTCTGCAAACAAACAAAAAGCCCTTGATTCTTCCTGGAGCTCATCCAGAGGAGAGCTCATAATGAGAAAGGCAGCTGTAAGCATATTTCACAACAGTCCTCAAGCAGAGCCCTAAAATTTGACCTGGATTCTCAAAAGCACATGTGCGAGGTAATTCTGCGGCTACGCTCAAATGCCGTTCACAGACTAAAATTTGACCATTGCCTGTAGATACTGCATTCTCCAAGTAACAGAAAATTGTGTGACAGACAATTTGAGATTAAAAAAAAATTCACCATGACACAGCGGCACATTGCTTTTGAAATGTCTGCTTGAAATCAAGATATATTTTTAAAGGCAGTACCTCGTGTTCCTTTGGGGCAAGGGCGTTCAACCATCATTCCTCTTTGTGTCTGAGGCCAGCTAATCCCCCTGGCCTCAGTCGGTTCACAGAATCTCTCTGGCAAAGGGAAAAAACTTGTCACAGGAGGAATTTTGGTTGTGGAAACGGGTGGCGGTGGCTTAGGTCCTCTGCTTCCTTCCTTTGTTCCTCCAGCTAATGTTGTGCTTATGGGACCTTTCTGTGATGTAGTGCTAGTGGTTGACACTGTGGTTTTGTATACCTCTGATGAAGAAGTTATTGTCACTGCTGTGGTAGGCACTGCACAAAGAAAATCAGAGTAATAATAAAGTAAATGACTTCAGAATTATTAAAAAAAAAGTTCTTTAAATGTTATTTATGTAGTTTTGAAGGATTCTCTTGTGTCTCCTTTCCTCTATCTTAATATTACTCTTTTCTTATTGCTATTCTGGGTGCTTATAACTTTAACTGATTTTATTTTTTTTTTACTCCCAGCTCATACCAGTATGATGTTTCAGCACATTCTCCAAATAATCTCTTCCATAATAAAAATTGATAGTTACATTTCTAAAGGCTGAAAGGCAGTCCTAGTGAGTTATCAGTACATAACAAATATACTCAAAGCAATTAAAGATTACTTAATCACTTTTGCAGAAGGAATAACTCAATAGACAGAATCACTCGAATCAGTGTGCCATAAACAATGCAGTCCAGCTTTAACAACAAAGGCAGTGGGCTGTAACTAACGAGACCATTTAAAAAAAAAACAGATCCCAAAACTTCAAGTCACCCAGTGCACACCTTCCAGGAAAATAATTACGGTAACATCTTCCTACCCAGCAGTCATTCTGCTTGAGAGCGCTGCAGCATGCCCCATTAGCTCCAAACAGAAGCAGCGCCTAGCACATACACGCTGTTCTCCTGTTTCAACACTTTGGTCCTTAACATCCTTTTTTGACAAGGCAGGTATGAAGACACAACTCGTTAAAGCCAGTGGCCAGTACCTAGTTTACTCTCGTACGACACACTAGGATCGGCTCGGGCCAAACCCCTCCTGCCCAGAGCGGCAGGAGCTCGCTCCACTGACCCGCCTCGGGAACCACTGCTGGAGCTGCCGAGGGGCAGCCCGAGGCATGCCGCGGTTTCAGGGCTTTGGAAAGAGAATGCTGGTTAATGCTACTGCAGATAACAGACTGGAATTCCTGCTCGGCACCTTCGAATGTATATTGAGCACCAGCTGAAACAACGCAAGGGAGCAAAGTAACTGAACCAGTTATCATTAATTATTTCAAAATCTTCATTAGTGTTCACAGTGATTTATAGATACATAAAAGCACAGATCCTTGTGCTGAGAATAAATAAGCTCATACCAAGTATTTTTTAAACACTAACTGATACAGAAACAAATGAAGCTAAATTCTGGATTAACTCCAGTGGATAAAGTTGCTTTTTTCTTTCTTTTTTTTTCTTCTGCTAGGCCTTTGCACTCTGACTTACTGGGCAATGAATCTTCTCCAAATTAAACCATAAACAAAAAACAAAAGAGCTGCCTCACTCTCTTTCAGTATATGCTTTTTAAGTCAGTGTTTCGAATAAGATTTACTTTCAGTAGTTTGGCAGATAGCAATTATTTCAAAATCTTTTTTCAATTATTTTCAGTTATAATATATTAGGAGTCTCAAATATGAATTTACCTTTTTATTTTCAAATAAATTTAAAGTGGAGTTTTTGAACATCACAACCTGTTTTTAAAGACTAAATGCAAAGATGTGCTTTTCATCCCGCTTTTGCTCACAAATGAGAAACTTCTTCAGAGGCTGTCATCCCCTCAGTCTCATTCTTGGCTGCTTGAATACAGTCTGTGTAATTGTGCCGAACTCGTGGTGTAGCCACCTACTACGAAACCTACTGAAATCCCCGGATCTGTTCCGCCAGTGCTTGCCTGACATCTTGTGAAACTGCTGTTATTTTCTTTTGATTACAGTGCACCCAGTCTTCTAGTGCTTTCCCAATTAACATTTGTCAAAAGCATTTGCAATCACTTGGAGTAGTGTCAGGCAGCGCCTGCTGTATCAGGTCCTGGGGAATGGCGAACTGGTGGGGACAGAGAACGATGCAGAGGACAACCAATTATTACTATCCATCCCGTAACACACTGTGCTAATTAGTACATATTTAATCACTGAAATGTGTGCTAGCATTATTGCAATCAGTACTCAAAACCTATAATGTTTAGGATAGCTTTGTCTCAGGAGCAAAATATCATTGCAAGAATTCATAACAACTCTTTGAAGTTCCATAGTGAGCTAACAATTTTCAGAACCTATTTTATGCTGCACCCTGAGATAAAATATCGTGCTGTCATTACGCAACTTTAGGTAGAACAATTTTAATGCTATCCATTACAATCCATCTCAAAGCACATCACCTGTGACTCAAAAATGACCTGCATAGCTTAGTAGCAGTACATACTTTAGAAATACATTTATAATCTCACATTTTAGGAGAAAAGACTTCAAATCACTTCTCTCACAAAACTGAAAAAAATACAGATCATTTCTAAGAGATTTTTTTCTTGAATTAAATTTTTTAAAAAGAGAAGTCAGTATATTTCAGAATGTACCAGGAAACTTCACACAGTGCTGGAAGTCTGGGAAAGAAGGTTGAAAAAATAAGAAATGACTAACACATCACTTTAAGGAATACATATAGCTTTTAGAAGGCAGACCATTTTGGTTTTAATGACCTGTTGGGGAACTTTATCTGCAAGGCCATTCTCCTGAGCTGCAAGAAGACACATGATAGCTGCCACCACCTGATGTGTCTCGTTCTGAAAGCTGAGGGTGACGACATCCGCTGGCTGCCGTGCACAGTCTTGCAGAGCACTTTACCAATATAAGATAATTGCAGTGATGATTAATATGCCACAACTAAGGAGAGGAACAAACTCCATGTTGAGGTTATTAACCTATTGTTCCAAGCAGCAGGGGTGAGCCCGTACAAGGCTGAAGATACATAATTTTTCTCCAACGCCAAAGAAGCCGCTTTTACAATGCGAGATTCTATTTTGGACTTTTTGACTAGGCTTGACACGCTGAGAAGAAAACCAAAACCTCTTCTGCCTTCTTCCTTTTCTTTAATAATAGGTGTGCCTCATTATCAGCTAAAGACAGTCTTTGTAAAATTAAAAAAAAAAAAAAATCAGGAAAGAGCAATAGGAAGTAAATACAAGACTCAAGTTGAGGGTAATTAATTTACATTTGTTTCATGCAGTTCTTAACAGCTGATTTAAACCCTTATGCATGCTATGTGCTTCTAAAAATGAAGACACCACTGGAGTAAAACTTAACACCTGTTTAACAGTGTGATGTCTATAAAAAACATAACACAATTGCCTAGGACAGCAGGGGAATAGTAACTTTGCTTCCCCAACTGACAGTGAAGAGTAGATTTAGGGAAGGCACACAAGCTTTTCTTTGCCAACAGGTTCTATTCTAAGCAGGCATAAAAAAAAATCAAACCACGCCAAAATAAAAAAATCCCCACCCAAAATACAACTCTGACCTTAGATTTAAAATTGTGTTAGAATGCCCAGATGATACGCTGCTGCTTAAAATCTTAATGGTTCCATTTTCATCTCTGGCATCTAGGTAATTTTAGGAATTGGCTCCACAGATTTTTCAGATAAATGTATGCTCTTATAAGTCAAGTATTTCAATGTATTTGGACACATGAAAATCTACGTACTTGCCTTCATTTTCAAAAGGTGTCATATGCTGAGCTGCCATGTAAAGTAACAGAGATCAGAAACCCGTGCAAATCCAGATTTCCCTGCCTTCTGCTTATTATCGCTATGTGCCTGTTTTCATGCTTTGGCAAATGGCAGGGAAGTCACTAAGACTTTACCTAATTACTCTTAGCTTCCAGCTATTATGCTGGCCAGTACTCTATTGACCCTGTCATATACCATTTAGTTGAAAGCGAAATGTTTATACAGCCATTTATAAATTTATACCCTGAAAATCATAATAAATACGCCACAAAATTAGCAAAATACCTATGATCGAGAAATGTGCTATCTGGTCCTCATTATGTTGTCTTTGCTTGTACAACTTCTCTCGCATCAATCTGTGGTGTATCAGATTCAATATAGTAGTAAAGATTTAATTTACTTAACAAATTCTGCATGACTTCATCGTAGATTCTTGGCATTATATAAAGATTTAGTTGCACTAGTTTCCTATTATTTCAAGCCCTTGGTGATAGTACTCTTCGAGTTTCTGTTCTGTCCACACTCGCAACATCCGTATTTTCCTGCAGTGATCCAATAAAACTTAATGATGGGTATCATGGTACAAAAGGAGAGACAACTTCAGTTTGAACAGTTTGCACAGTTAGCACAAATTGGGATGAGTGTAGATGAAATCTCTCCCTAACGCACTAACATAGAACAAAAGGATTAATCTTCTTTATGTTACCAAGGAAACCTCACAATGTAATGCTCATATTCACTTTTTAGGGGGAAAATTCTCTTCATTCTTCCTGATCTTTTAACTTAAAATCACTTTAAAAATTCCTATTTCAGCGAGGATTCATTTGGTCCCTTGGATTCCTCCTTCAGAAAGAAACATGACATATCCATTAAATTTACCAAGGATATAAAAACTCTAGTCTGTTTTGAATTTTTCATAGTTGAAGGTCCTGATATATTTTATTTCTAAATTACAGTTTTGATTTTTAAGTGTAATATTTACACTTAACCTTAGAAAATGCGCTCTTCTGCAGTATGTGAGTGGTACTTGTCAGCTGTACCTCTGAAAGCCGTTTCTGCATCTATGTACTATAATTCCCATGAGAGGAGAGCAGAAAAAACAACACATGAAGAACGAGGTTAAGAGGGGAGTTTTAAGGACAGCAGACCCAATTGCCAGGGTAAAACAGTAGCCTGGCTGCAGCATCTGCAGTTTGAGAAATCTGAAGAGTTCTCCTGAAGATTAAGAAAATAAGGATACAGGGAATACATAACCTAACTGCAAGAGGAGAAAATGGTGTACGTTTGCAGAAAGGGCAAGGTCAACATTAGGTTAATTATAGTGGTATTTCAGAGGTTTCAATAGGCAGATTTAAAAATAAAAGAAATAAGAGAGCGAAGAAAGGCAGGTCTAGGGTCGTGGATGAGTCCAACATTTTGGCCCTGGGAGCAAATGTAAACCCTCGACGTCAAAAGTGTGACTCAAATGTGACAAATTCATCTTTCATGTAGGAAGAAAGACTTATTTTTGAAGCACTTGGGAGTTGAAAGCTATGGTGTAGACAAGAACTGATAGCCAAGACAGATAGATGTGGGGGGAAAAAAGAGAATCAGCGTGTGTCTATATATCATTATTGCTCCCATGGCAACAGAAGGAACACAGATTGCTGAGTTTCCCACAACAGCCCCAAGTTAACCATTCGAACAGAAAAGGCCACGACTTCCAATTTTGAGGCACTGACCTTGTGACACCATTAAATACTTGATATTAAAGTCCCATTGCAAAAAGAGACTAAAAAAAGTTTCTTGTGTTAGGTGACTTAAAGAATGTTATCCTAACACCTATGTCTTTGACTAGATGATTAAGAAACCTGAGTCAACCACAAAAAAAAAAACCCAACAAAATAAAACAGAACAAAAGAGACACAAAAATGCCCTTCATTAAATGTGCTGAAAATCTGGTCTAATTTCATATAATATTAAAAAATTCAAATGTGTATACATATAGATCATTTAACTGTATAACAATAGAAGGTCTGATCTTCAATCTATGCAGACTTAAAGCTGAAGCCTAAGAGGAACTGAAAATATAATACAAATATAACATAGAGTTAGAAACTGTACAGAATCTCTTCTTAGTTTTATAGCTGTACATCTCAAGGACAATCGTATTAAATAATTTTTCATTTAGTAGTCTTTAACTACAGGCAATTGGCTTACACAAAAGAGGAAATGAACTGAAATATATTCTTAAATCTGCTATGTACAGATCCATACAAAACTAAAATACTGGGTATTGGCTCTATATAAGGAAAAATACTATTTTTGAATGTATGCATCACATATTCAAATAAATCAAGTGTCTTTATACGGTTTCCACATTCAAGAAAGGTCATAATCAAATATATTTACTGATGTTATAATGCATCTAAAAGCCAAACTCACAAATGACTCAAAAAATATTCCTTTTCTGTCTTCACAGGTGAATGGGCAAAGAGCTCAGATGAGAGGCAAGCACTCTGCGGTGTGCCCTGGACCCCTTCTCATCTGGGTCTGGGTGGAATAAACCATTTCTCCCTTGCCCTTCCTTGCACAACAGAAAGGAACCCAGCAACACGAAGAGGTGCTGGTGGATGTCCAAATCTCTTTCTGATGTTAGATGAGATGTGGCCAGTACATGTACTGTTACTTGGGATCTTGAAGACTCTCCTAATAAAAACATTATGAAATATCTTACTGGAAACCTTTGGTGGTTCACTGAAGAAAAGGAAAGATTCTACAAAGCCTTTTCTTCACTCCCTGCTCTTCCTTAACACTTTTCCCGCAATGCAATGATTTAAAGATTAGCTTTTGCCACATCCATGGCACCTGCCTGAACTGCAAAAGCTACTTAGAGTCTGCACCTCCATTTTCTCCTCTTACTATTAAAGCTTTCAAGAATTTAAAATGCATCTTCATCTCAGTTAAACCGAATGGAAAGTGACATGCATGAGAATGTACAAAAATGAAAGCTATAAATTTTTTCTAATTACATAGGTGGGTACGCCTCTGCTAAGAGCAGCCCCAAAGCCTCCCTGAGGAACAGACTAGCTTGACGTGCAGAGAGCAAAGCTTCCCAGCACAGCCACCCTCACGGCCAGAGCACAATCCCCAGCACCTGGAATCTGCCTGAGCCTGGCCATGTATCGCCAGGGAGGCCTGCAGAAGACAGACTGGACAGATCTTCACTTGGCTCTGGAGATCACTATGCATTGGTTCTGAACAGTCTTGTTCTGCTGCGTCTTACGTATTTTTGTCCCTAGGAAAAGCTATACATATGATGATATAGTTGTGTGCACACTATGTGGTTTGCATTGCTATGCATGAATCAGCTTCGCTGAAGCAGGATAGCTACTTTTCACGTGGAGAAGCCATTATTACTACTTTTTTGAAGCAGAAAAAACGGCTGCTAAACATGCATACCAGTTAGATGAGAGAAGTGAAGCATTACCTTCATTGCTAAAGCAGCTTATCAATATTCTCTTCCTTGCTGCATGCATCTTCTGCCACGGAGCATTTCTCTTGGTATTTACTCTCCCCTGGAGATGCTAATATGTGGCTGTGCCTGTTCGTGTCATTTTTAGGGATTTCTGAGACCTAAAGACCTCCGTTTTTCTCTCCTCTTTTGGCAGTTAGAGTCTTTCCTTTTAGGCAGCTGTTCTAACTTCAAGTGAGCTGTACTGCAATTGTAATGGACTTACCGAGAAACCTGCTAAAAAGAGGTCGGATAATCTTGTCTAACCTGGAATTAGAAACTGTGAAAATAGGGCTGCGGAAAAAATTTTATGCTTAGTATTGCACATTAACGCCATACATCTCCTCTGGGACCTCCCAGCACACACCACTCTCAACTGCTGGCGCCAAGTTAAAAGGACTGCACGTATGTTGTAATCAATTCAGAAGTCAGGTAACACTGAACAGATGGGACCAGGGCTCTGGCTCAGCGTGAATGAACTCAAACTTACTTCAGCTATAGAAAGTCAAACTGACTGATGGTATAAAGTAAATAATTCCCCAACTCATTTTCAAACACAGAAAAGCTAAACATTTGCATTAAAAAAAAGAAAAAAAAAGAAGAAAAGTAAAGTACCAGCCTGTAAACCAAAAAAGTAATTCTATCTCTCTTCACAGGTGCTGCAAATTTGCCTTGCACCAAAGTAACGCTGTACTGGCTCAGCTCTGTGCTGAGAAACAACCCCGCCTTGCCCTTCTGCCAAGAGCTAAGTCTAAGACCAAATATATCATAACATAGTTGTCTGAATGGAAGTATAAAAGGATTAAAAATGAGAAAAAAACAAGTTCTTACCTTGGGCAGGATCAGGTGGGCCAAACTCCAAAGAGTATCGCAGAATGAAGTTGTTATTCCACACATACAGCTGGTTGTCTCTGGGGTTGTAATCCACTGCAGCGATGTACTGGTACTGGTTGGGGAAAGGAATGTCCACGTGCTCGCCTCTGCTTAATCTGGTGTTGTAGATGTAATCGATGGCGTTCTTGCCGGTCTCGCTCTCGTTGTCCTGATACACCGACCGCACTACATACAGGACACCACATATCATGAAAGCATTGGATGCTGCTCGTTTGTCGTACGTCGTTTCCCAGGTGGCTTCGAAACGCAGGGTGTAGGGGTTCAGCTGGCTAATTACTATCATCCCATTGTTTTGCTCCGTAGCATAAATTACCCATAAGCCATTTTCATCAACTGCCAAGTCAATATCAGTCTTTCCTCCCCATCGGTATGGAGAGGTGTCATGGTAATTAGCATAATTGATTATGGCCTCTCCACTCTTAATTCTAGTCCTCAAGTCAAATTTTACTATGTTTCTAGTTCTTTCCTTGTTAAAAAAGACAGCGCCATCATACACTACAAATCCAGTACCATCCACTCGATTTGGCAGTTTATACGTTGTCTGCTGGCGTCCGTTTTGGAAGTCCTCTAAAGAAGCATATTCTATCAAAGTATCAGTGCGATATGGAGTCCATGGCATGAAGTATATTTTATCTGCAGCCTGGAGAGGATCTTTGCACCAAGCACCTGCCTTTTGTTCAGCTTCATATAAATACGGTGAGTCCACAATTGCTTTCAACGTCCCCGGGCAAACAAAAACTAACAGTCACAGAGAGAAGTAAGACAAGAATTACGTCAAATTAAGATTGTCTCATAATAAATAAAAAAAAAAAAAAAAGAAAAAAAAAGGTAGGTAAATCATAATGACTGTGTCAGGAAGAAAAAAAATCAATTTAATTGGCACTAGATTATACCTTATGTTATAATTAATGCAATTATCACCCTTTATCATCCACTTTTCTTAAAGTTACCATGTTCTTGCTGTACCAGTACGGAAAGTGGATGGGAACTGTTTTCACTAGTACAGACCAAGGCTCAATGGCATATACAGACAGCTGAAAATGTAGAGCTACTCTTGCATTTTCGTCTTAGACTTTTAGTGAGTATGCATTAACGCTCCAGAGGTTTTAACTGGTGTGCAGCAGTGCGCTAGGTCATTTCAGTCCAGAAAAAAAAATCACATCGACTTGTTTAGAACTTTAAGAAGTGGTGAGGCTGAAAAAGGAGGTGCCTCGATTAAAAATAAAGGAACAAATCAAACCATCAGGTATATAGAGAAAGCATTAGGAGCAGAGAAAACAAAACACAACCAAAGCAATGAATGAAACAGACCAGGAAACCCTGTAACCATGGCATGCTATGGAGAGGGTTCTGGAAGCCAGGCAAGATGACACTTGATTAACAAGAATTTACCCAAGGGTGAGAGAAAGAGAGAGAGAGAAAGACAAAGAGAAAGGGAGAGAAAAAAGCAAGGGAGTCTTCCCTCCAGCCCAAGTATTTCAGACACTATACCCCGCCACCTACTTTAAGCAGCCAAGTCACTTTATTGCAAACAGTCGACTTCTTTATGAGGTGTACTTATGAGATCCTGCTGATTATCATAATATAAGAGTGTTGTGGGGAGGGGAAGGGAAGAGGTTAACATCCATAAGGCACATAACAAGGAGCTGGGGTTTGGACTGTGTACATTATTTACCTTTTTGCTCCACTTCTATTTTAAGCATCGGAAGAAAAATAAAAAAGTGCAAGGAAAAAAGAAAGAAGATTAACATAAATTGACTATTAATCTAAAGATTAAATTAGTAACAGACGCTAAATATAGGGAGAATAAGAACTGCACTATATTGGATAAAGAGAAACAGACAACAGGAAAACCTAGCAGGAGAGAGATTCTACGGTTACACAAGTGAACACGGATCAATCATTTTAGTAGATTAAGGAGGCAATACAGATATGTTGGCATGTAGTTTCACTTAGTGAACCTGAATAAATAATGAATGACTTTACTAATGCATGCTATACATACTCTTCTTTTCAAAGTATAATGCTATCAAGTTGGTTTTGAAGTGACACGTTAATTTATCATATATGTGCGACTGCACATACACATATTATATTAACTAGATAATTATAAATCCAAAATGCAGTATATTAATTATATAGGCTTGTATGTGTGCTTATTAATCCTTCCCCCATCTTTGTCCCAGACATCCCTCTGCTTTTCTGTCTTGTAAAGAAAGCAGCTTGCATCCGTTAGCTCTCCATTTTATTTGTTTTCCTGAATGTTAAATCTTGAGAAATTTTGCCACTTCTTAGTCTGTAACTGCAAAATCAGACTATAAGGAATAAGCAAAAACATCTAGAAAAAAGAAGCAAAAGCATAGTAAGCAAGAGGAAAAGAGAAGAAAAAATTAACATTTAGCTCATTCAGATATTCTCCAGCATCATCGATCAAGCCCAAAACAGCAAGCTAGTATGCAAGGACAGTCATACTAAGTGTTTAAAACAAATATCCATCCCGCCACCGCACATGGAAAATATAAACCGAACCCGAGTAACAAAGTGACATTACTATCGCAATTTTTCCCCAAGGAAGTTTTAAGGAACATATTACAGGAAGACATATAGCTGAAGTCCAGCTAGTAAATAGCTTTCCAATAATTATTTGCAATAAAATCTATTTCATATACTCAGTAGCCTTTGAAGTCTGCTCCCTTAGTTTTACAAAACGACCTGGAAAATGACAGATGTACCAATCTGTCTAACAGTAGCTGCTGGTACAAAGGACCTGAAAAATGTATTTGTATATTTCATATAAAGTTTTGGATTTTCAGTTTCATTTAACAAAATTACATATGATTATTTTGAGAGAATGCTATTGGCTGAGCTGATCTAGTGTTTCTTCAGGGAACAATTCCACAACTTTATGGGGGAGTGGGAGGGGGTTAATGTTCTCAAATTGAGCAGTAGTTTTCCTAGCCTTTGTTCATTTATACATCTTTACGTAAAATACTTGTTTCTTCTGCAATTTGTAATTCCTGAGTTATCCGCGTAAAATTCTGAGGTGAATTCTTGGGTTTCACAACCAGTGTTAATGACTTTCAGATGATTCTGTTTGTGAACTTTTATGCATGAGTTTATTCCTTGCCAAAGATCAATATTGATATCGTACCTGCTTAGAATTAGTAATAGGAGAGGGGGAAAAAGATAGAGATAACTAAAATCATTACTGGCATGTCTGCTCTGTGTGCATTGGTGTACAGCTGTACATTTTTCAGGGACAGATGGGCTTATTGAAATAAACAAATGCTGCAAAGTCCAATCAATACAGACAGAGAGAGAATAAAGCACTTTAAAACATTTTCTATTGAATTCCTGAGTCCAAAAAAAGGCTTAAAATAAAAATGCACAGATGTACAAAATGGTACTTTTGATGTTCTTCTTTATAAAAGGGCTGACTTCTGTTATTCAGTCAAAGTGTCAACATACATTGTGCAGTATAACTGAGAGAAATGTCAAGCACGGTACTCTCAATTTCTTTGTAATTTCATCAATAACACTCTTATTTTAAGACAAAGCAATGCCTATCAAATCTGTGTAGAATTTTAGTTTTGTTAGAGATCCAACTGAGTATCTCAATAGATTTATTTATTTTTTTTTTTACTAAAGAGGATCAGAAAAACATCAGCAACAGGTCTACACTTGAGACGCAAAAAAGCAAGATTTTCATTAAGGACTTTCTTAGGAGAGGGATGAATACAGAACCCAGAGAAAGCTCAACCAATATGTATGATCAGCAAAGCAGCTGTGTATTTCTGGAGGCCAACAAGACATAGAGGAGCTCATAAACTGCATTCTGTACAAGGGTGACTCCAACTCCAGTGTGTAAGAACTCCCAGCTTTTACCAAAAAACCTGGTATGATTGCTATTTGTAATCTCTCATGGACTGAAAGGTGCCACAGTGAGACATAGCAAATTTTGAAATAACTTGCAGTAACTGAAGATAAAGTTCAGAAGAAGTAAGAACCATAACTGAACTTTGGTTAGAAGTGCTCTGATCACTAAAAACTTCCCTTCCTAGACCCACAAAAGCCTATCCCACCTTCCTAACAAGTGTCTTATGCTGGGACAGCTGTTATTTGTAAACCTAACGATTTCAGTCATTCCGTACATTCAGATATGGAGCACTGGAACAAGTAAAAGAGAAAAAAATTATACTCGATAACTGGAGTTTGTCAGGCGTCAAAAACAGAGACTTGGAAAAATACCAGGATAGACTTTTTGGGACAGGGAAGAAAGATGATCAACCATCAAAATGGCTAATGAAGCACAATGTGGTTTGAAATCAAACTTCAAAACTGATTTAAGTAACTGGCAACCTTTTTGATGACTGCTGCTAATGACAGGTGGTACCTCTTACAGTTCTGGAATTGGGCACAGTGTCATCACTGTACATGCTGCAGTTGACAAACTCCAAAACTTAGACTTTGAAAGACAAGAAGTATCCAGAATCCTGAGTTACGATAGACACAGAATCACATAATTCAAAGGGTAGGCCAATGCAATTGACAGTAAACAAAAATAAACATTTTAAAAGTAGAATAACTACACGTTAGAGTGCAGGGTAGGCCGCGCTGTGGCACTATACTTCTGAAAACTGGAAAAGAAAAGATTCCCGTAGATAGCAATACCCAATCGGTAGAACATATCCACACTTCTCTTCCTAAAACAGCATAAAAAATGATGTTTGAACATTATTTGCATTACACTTTTTCTCTATGAGCTAGTCTACTGGAATTCAAAACGTAATCTCTTGTCATTTGACTGACCTCATGGTTTGGAATCAGATGCACTGCCCTCTTTCTGAGAATTTGGGAATGAAAATAGCGCTAAAGTAAAAGTGATCTTTGTGGAACAAAACTTTGGTTAGATTGGGGTAGAACATCACTCCTCAAAAGTGGCACAAGAAGAATGGTTACAACAAGCCACCAATACTACACACAGGAGGAATGGTACTAGAGATCACTGTATGCAGTGGGCTTCCAATCCTACAAATGGTACAGAAAAAAAAAACAGCAAGCAACCATTTCACAATGACACACCAGAAATAAAGAAAAAAAACACATGATCTGTGTTTGGCCTTTAACAACAGTGAAGGTTCAATGTGGTGAAGTAGTACAGAGTAGTATTTCAGTTTAAGAAGTCAAAATTTTTAAATTGTGCAGGCAACAGTATGGACAGTTTTGACATAGCTTTGCTTATGCAAAAACTCATTTACTTCCTGTCTGGATATATACTGTCACCACAGTGCTTTTGCATCTCAGACTTGGCCTGTTTCCTGTACCAACAGAAAATGTGACTTTGGTTAAGGACTACTGCAGATCAAGAAATTCACACTTAATAATAACTTAGTGGAATGATCAGTGCACTGTTCCAATTCCATTGCAAACACAGCTATTTCTCTGTTGAGTTACAGGACGAGGGAGAAGTCCCTGCAAAGAACGACCTTACAAGAAAGCAAAACCAGTTAAAAGTGTCGAATCTGCAGAACTTTTATAAACATGCATACATGTTAATGAAAAAAAGCATTCATTATTGCAAGGAAGTAAGAAGCATGTCTAAAGCTACTGAATTTTGGCATTGGAAAGAACATTTTACAGAAGTGCTGAAGTAGCCGTAACTTCAAAATTTTGTATCTCAGTATGATTTCAGTATTTACTTTTTTTTCAGTGAAAAAATATGTTTTGGCAGCTGATTCAAGGCAAAATTCATATTTTCTATTTACATTAAAAGTGAACGTTTCTTTCTCTTTTCCCCATTGCTTTTAAGAACCAAGTTTGAGTAACTTAACAATGAATTATTCACTCTGAATCTGCGTTCACTTATAACGTGCCCCTGAAGCACAAAGTCTTCTTACAATGTCCCCCAACTGGGGCATTTGCCTCCGAGGGTCAGTGCTGGGTTTTGCTGGGCACCTAAAGTCACCACAACAGCAGGTAGCCTTTCAAGCAGATCATGATTAAAATTGAAGTCAATTCCGGCTTTAGAAGTCTGTGAGCCAAGCCAATTTGTCAGCAACTGGTAGCGGGCAAAAGTACAAATTTCTATCTGGCCTATTGAATAGCTGATTTGAGTTTGTTTTCTGGAAAAACAGTAGCCTTAAAAGCCAAACACTTAAGAACACAGACAGACACTTGGCCAGCATCACACCATGGCTTCCTTCCACACTTCGTGGAGCTAATTGGAGGCCCTAGTCTGCAAGTGCTCTGCATGCATAATGGGTCCGTGGGCCATAAACATATGCTTCTTTTCCATGTAACAGCACTCCAGCTTTAATTGTGAGGGCCAGAGGAAGTGAGCAAGAATAAAAAGATTATACTTACTGTAAGGAACACATTCATACTGAACTTCTAGATATTTGTATGTTCCAGGACAAGGATCAGGAAACACATCTGACCCAGTAACTACTATACACTGTGTTCGGTTGTTGCACCTGTAATGGGAAAAGAAAGCAAGCTAATTAATTTAAAATTACATTTAATTTGCAAGTTCATGCTAAAGCACTATATGCAATGCTAACTCTCTTCACACTTGGGCAGTTGGATCCATAAGACAACAAAGTTAATTAACAGTAGATCAGTCAAAGTCCATAAATAAGGCTTCAAGACAGTATTTCAGTTCAGGCTTCATACTTTTTAAGTTTGGAGATTGATGTTATCTCAAATGTCACTCGTTCCCACTGGTAGAGACAGCTGTCCCAAATATATACTGATTTGACACTACTGTTCAATAAAATCAAAGCAAAATGCAAAGATGATACAAAATGAAAAAAATGTGCAATTTTGAATAATCTACAATAACACAAATGAGCAATTCCTTCCTGCTTTAGAAATACACATATTACTGAATGCTTTTACATCTCAGAGTGATTTTTGTTGTGATTCAAGGAGACTATTTTGGTTGGAAGAGTTATTGTAGACAAAGAGCATGAACATTGCCATTTTAATTATTTTAAGAGCAAATGGTGGACTCTCGAGCTTTCTCTGTTAGCTTACAGGAAGAGATAAAGAATGACTGTATGAGGAAATAAGAAAAACGTTTTTTAAAAAAAGTACTGCAATAAAATTAATTAAAATGTATTTTAGAGGAGACTAATTACCGAAACATATACATGATTTGCTTAACAATGGAAACCAATGCATTTTAATACAAAGATGATCTTTATTATAATGCCTCTAACAACGAGAGTCTACTGAATTTGATGGGTTTTGAAGGGTTTTTTTAATAAAAATGACCACGAGATTTAATTTTTCCACAAAAAAAAAAAATAGCTTGGAAGTTAAAAGTGAAAAAACAATCACCTAACCCTAAAGAGATGGTCAAACTGTAATTCAGAAAATACTGTCAGAAGCAAGTGGAAGAAGAAAAAAAAGAAGGTCAGGGAGTTTGGTGACCAAAAGAAAAAGAGCTTGACTGATCTTCTCAGGGGTTAGTTTTGTTTGTCAGCCAACTGAATAACAGAAGTCTGAACTTAAGTAATAGTCTAGCCTTTGACTCCAGCTGTACATCAACTTCTCTTTTGCCCTACTACTTCCCACACTCTCTGAGTACCACATCCCAAGCTAAAATAATCTATCTTGCATCAACAGCTCTCCACGGCTGTACACTGCCAACAGGTGTAAGAATAATTCACGCTACCTCATAAAAGGTAGAGCAAGCACATTTGAAGAACTCTGATACAGATCACTTTCCTTTTTACAGACTAATCAAACTAGCACAGAGTTGGTCAGGACATGCTGTGCCTCTTGCTGAGCGAACTAGGGAACACCAACTCTTCTGACTTTATCAGTTAATTCTTTTGTTTTTCCTTTTTTATTTTTTTTAAGCTACTTATTTCTAGCCTCATAAGGCTCATAATTGCAGAACTAATCAGAAATAGCCAGGGATTCCTGTATATACACACAACCACAGATACAGATAAATGGTGAGGAATTCACCTGTCACCTCTGTGCTGCTTGTGGCAGTGACTTTCCAGAGCAGAAAGATAAGGCACAGGTAACGTCACATCACTCCCAATAGCACTATTATTCAGTGCAACAGCTTGTACAGTATATTAGAGAGTCTCTAATGAGTACGACACATCCAATGGCTTTCAGACCCACGCCAAAGTGATGAAATGTACACCCAACTTGCAGAGAAAATCACTGTACTGAATCTGTAATACTGAAAATGTACAAGACAGTCACTTTTTTGTACTCACACGAAGGTCAAAGTGCTGCTCTTGTATGTGTTGTGTAGGTGGACGCTGTAGAAGCAGGAGAAGGCAATACGGCCCCAAAACTCATAGGGGTCTCTGTTCTAACCCCCGTACGGGGTTTTTTATGCCCCACACCTCAGGTCAGACTAATTAGCATGAGAAAACCTTGGATGTAAGCTTTTGTGATCAATTTCTTTAAATTTCTTTCTGTTTCGTCAGTGAAAATCGTATGCTGAAGCCAAAATAATTCCTACAAAATACTTTGTGTAGTGCATCATTCAGTATAATGGTTTCCACAGCTTTGAGCTGTATGAAACTTTCATTTTACACTTGAATGAGTGGCAATTAAGAGAGAAATATTGATTTGTTACAAAAGAAAATGGATACATATTTGGAGAAATTGCTTGAGAATGAAACTGATGAAGGTCATATTTAGCTGTGGGAAAAAAGAGTTCTACTAGCAGTATTTGTAAATCTTATGAAAAAGATTGACTCTTGTTCCCCTACGAAAAGTTGTTTTCCTCTCTTTCATTTTCCCCCAGTGAAAGACTCATAATGCTGCCATCAGTCAGGAAACTGAGAAGAACTTCATGCTAGCTTGTATTGAAAGAAAGCATAACAATTCAGAAGAAAATGCAGTATTTTCTTCTTTGTACAGTAAGTGTCACTGTCAAACTTCAGGCATTGAGTGGTATTTACAGGAAGCGTTTGACCTTCTAAAAACTTTTGACTATTTCTTCATGCAAGATTTGACCGATGTGCATATGGCCACTTTTTGCTCACACCTGGCCAAAACGAAGGAGACCCCAATTCCAAAACAATCACCTACGCCCACTGCTGCAGTACATGGCAGTGCTACAAAGGACACCACCACCTCCTCAAGAAGTGCAATTACTTGGATAACTGAATGAATAGAAGGATTTGTGCTTTAAGCTGCAGTTTTTTTACGTACAAATCACTGATTTTCCTGCATTGCTGGTTGCATTTTTTAAAACCTGAGTAATTTTCATATAAGGTTCTGATTTTGACGCATTTCTAAGATTTCAAATTAAAGACACCTGATTAAGATATTCACATTTTAAAAAGTTGACATTCAGGTAACTATTTGTTACAGTTAGTGGTCATATTTCGATTCCAGTGAAACCTTTAAAAAAACCAAGAGTGACTACAGTGGCTGTCAATCCTGATTCATAGGTAACAGACGAGATGAAGTGTAAGTGGACTTTTAGAGGTAGTTCTGAGACAAGCAATTCAGGGAATTTACACTACTGCGATTTGCTCTCTGGACAAATGAAAGTCTTCTGTCTGCTGCATTGTCTTCTTCCCCTGTAAAACCAGGGATACTAACTTCTCTATTAGTTACTGGCCTACAGTTCTGCTGCTGCCTGCAAAGACCATTTTACAAACTGATAAAGGATTCAGTCGAACTTCTTTAAGACAAGAAGCACTGAATTCTGTTGTATATTGGAAAAAGATACTCCGCTCTCCACAAAATAACACTAAACAGCAGATTATCCTATGTGGCTACAGATTATCAAAGCTACCGCATTACTGACATAGCAGAGCTTCATAATTTTGAGAAACCTTTACACTTAGAAACACAATGCTCAAAGAAGAGCATATTACACTGTTACAGCCTTCAACTCAATCCTGTGACCCATTTTCATTACTTTTTGTATGGGCAAGCCCCTTCTGAGTGCTGCCACTCCATGGGATTCTCCAAAACAAGACTATAGTGGAAATAACGTTTCTGGCGATTTGCAAAATTGGCCTAGATACCATCAGGGAAAAAAAAATCCTCACCTTGAAAATCTTAATTGGCAAATATCTTGAAGTCTCTCATTAATTTTAACCAATGTTATTTTTTTCTACATGATATACTGTTAGTTTGGTCCATCTATCCAATCTCTTTTAGAATTGTTCCAACTGAAGGCACAATACAAATCAGCTCTAATTCCTGCAAATTTAAGGAGTCAAATCACAAATACTTTAGTGTTTGTGTCTGTAACCTAGCGTTTTAAGTTTTCCACAGGTTTCAAGTACCATTTAAGTGTTCTGTAAAATGTGTAACTGCATACTTCCCTAGCTTATGTTAAAATACGCAAATTCTCATGCTTTTATGTACAAATTTAAAATTCGTATGATCTCACACCGAGAAATGCCTTCACACTTAAGGCATTCACAATATTGACAAAGATTTATGACACAATGACTTTGTCATTTACAAGGAAATAAAGCAGATCGGCAAAGGACTCTACACAAACTCAGTAACAGTTGACTTAGGAAAGGTAATATATGGATTAAATTTTAAATCCTAGTTAGGAAAAGACTAACTGTAGCACGGAAGGAATAATTCAGGTTCCTGTGCTAGTGGCAGAAAGAATTTTGCAAGGGGAAATGTAGGAAGTATCATTATTCTCATGAATGCAAGGAGTAATTGTGTACTCTAACACTCGTTTCTTCAGTATTTTAGTATGAATGAAGAAAGGTTAAATTTTCATAATGCAGATGCATCACTTAAAGTAATCTAAAAATCAAATGGAGTGTTTAATTAACAGTTACAGTACAATGTCTGAACTCCTTTCACCTCAGGAAGAAGACAGTGCAAATGAGGAATGGCCCTTTCACATTTCAGATGAATACAGAAAAAAAGGGAAAGTAAAGCAGCTCCACCAGGACTGTTAGCAAGTATCTTCTGCTCACGATGTAGCCATGTCCCTGCTGCATCCATCCTCTTCTGTGCTCAGGCTTAAGGACAGCTATACTTTCCATGATAATATGTTTGCATTTCAACTCTAATCTTGACTTGTACAATTCCCAACAAATCACTTTTGCTCTTTTTTTATTATCTTATGCTCATTATTGCACTTTTCCATGTGCCACATATGCAGATGAGATTCCATGTGCAATCTATTGTGTGAGGTGTTTTAATCAATAATCTTGTTCTGCTGATTACGCAGGGGCTTCTGTTTTGGCAAGATAACATTAGTTTCTCCTGTCATGCTCCAAAAGCTACTGGGAATCTTCAGCAGATCATTAGATATGCTACAATAAAGCTTTGGTACATTCTCTTTTCTTTCTTAAATTACTTCTTCACTGTCCTATCATTCTTCGTCACCGCTGGCATAGCATTATTATTAAAGCTCCCCTGAAACTTGCACTAGAGCTATGTCTCCAGGCCATAGGATGCCATTTTCAATTGAAGCTTCTGCTTGAAAATATAAATTAAGAAAATTTCATTATCTCCTGCCAAGGGCCATTATTCACCACTGTTCTAAGGAAGATTAAAAATGCAAAATCTATGGACTTGAACAAATACTCCGGCATTAAAATGAAAAACACAGTGTATCATGACTGGACCAGAAAGTGAAAAAATGAAATCTGAGAAGCAGATTCTGGAAAGACATTAGGATTACCTGGATGAAATCGATTGACTGAGGGAAGAGGTCATCTTTATGGGTAAGTCACATAAAGATACATACAGTTCCTTTCTAAGTGCTTCTTGCAGTTTGCAAAATTAAGGTATGTAAGAAGTATGTCTACAGTGCAATTTATGCTTCAAATGCTTTTGTTTGCATACTTAACTTTTACAAAGACAGTAACATAAAAGAAACATCATGTAATTTTGAAAAGAATATGGGCTAATGTCAAGCCAGAAATGGGCTAACAAAATAATTTTGGGTATTTCTAATGCTGGATTTCTGTGAATGCAGTGTTTCATTAAGTAAGGTAAAACAGGCCAACACAGAAAACAGTCACGTGTACTTAATTTTAAAAAGAAAAATAAGATACAAAGCCACATTTAATAAATAAGATTAATTTTTTAATAAAATTGTCAATACAGTAAAAAAAAAATCTACCTTGGTATGTTTTGAAACTTTTAAGTCAGATCTGACAATATTTCTCTTTCAGCATATTGATTAAATACTTAAAAGCAAGCATGATGACATGTTCCTGCATATCGCCTGCAGCAACCTGCTTAAACACCACTTGAAGCACGTAAACTCTGAGTTGTAGCACCACATACTCCATATGGTCTTCTTGTTCCTTATTCACCCTGGGTGAGCTGCAGTCTGAGTAAAAAGAGATGGGAATGTGGAATGACTGCATTTCGTGTATTGACTTTTAACAATAGCATACTTTAAATTGAAAAATTCCTGAACATCTTTACCCAGAGTAAATGGCTGTCTTTACATATGTATTCCTAATGGTCTACAACTGTCACGTGAGATGTGCTTCTTCTTTTGTATGCATATTCTCTAGACCTCTACTCCTGTTGTCAAAGTTGCATATGTATGAAGATGTCAAATATTACTTAAATCTACATTTTATTAATTTGATCTTAGAAAGTATGTACTAAACTTACATATAAAATAGCCAAAGAATGGAGATTTTATTTGAGAGGTGTATAGATACATACATATGCAAACACATACCACAGTAGATAAAATTATTTAAAGGAATGCATTTAAATTTTGAGTTTCAAATTCACCTCACAAGAAATGCATTATTACATATTGAAACCTAATGAGTTAGCAAATTGAACCTAACCAAAGCCTGAAAAAAAGACCTGCTAAAAAAACCCAGCCTCGCTATAAGGCCTGATTTGGAGCAGCATTGGCCAGCCATCATTGCAATATCCTTAGGGCTCCAGGAACCGCAGCAGCAGCAGCACAACCCTACCCACGCAGGAAGAGCGAGCGCACACATCCCTACAGAGCCACGCTTCCTCGAAGATAGACATAATCCTGCAACTGGCTTTTAAAAAACCCAGGATGCCACACTGGCAATTTCGCTTACTCATGTATAAGATTTTCTAAAAATTATTTTCAAGTTAGAATCCCTAAAAATAATATGAGGAAATGATCAGGGGCGGGGGGAGGGGGGAGGGAAGCACCAATTTTACCTACCTCAAAGGGAAAACAGATGTAATGTGCTATGGTTGTAGTTTTGATAATCCAAGAAAAAAAACGGGAGATGCATGAGCATGTATGAAAGCAGAATTTGGCCACTGGAATCGTGTCTAGATATCAGAGATCCTCCTGTGACCACTACAGCAGCAAGGAACGCTAAAAATTGGTTTGAAAATTCACAATCCAGCCTTGGGATTTTTTATGCATTTGGCAACATGACCACTACAGCAATAAACCTGGTGACTTCAGATGAAAAATATTTTAGGGGAAAAAATTGGAGAAAATTGTTGCTATTTTCTTTTTAAATATAATATTGATAATTTGTTGAATCTTCCTAATTACTGAGGAAACATGACATAAGGAAGCTAAATAGTGTATAATTAATATTGTAGAAGAAGGTGCACTATAGCATTTTTTCTGTTTGCTCGATAAATACGCAGTAAGATTTAATTGTGTTTTCTTTATACAGTGCAATCTTGTGGGAGTCTAAGGGTACCTATTAAGGACGAAAACTCCAAATAGACAACAAAACACTACAGAAAATATGTAACTCCCACAGGCCCTTTCTTAGGATTACCCAGTTTGACTCACTATCAATGAATGTATATCAGACTTGTATGGCAAAGTAATTTAACAGAGTATTTCTTGCTTTCAACCTCATCTTACAATTTTAATACATTTAGTTATGACCCATTTGCCTTCTAGTATTCAGGTTCTCTAAACTCAAAGCAGTCACTGTTTAAAAGCTCACATCTAAGCTATCAGAGGTATTTTTTTCTTGTTACAATTCATTCTTGTTCCCGTACTTTGCTTATTGGTGTAAGTGCTATTATTTTATGGGGTTGTTATTATTAATGTAAAACTGAAACATCACATAAAACAGGGAAGGGGGAAAAAAAAGAAAAAGGAAAAACGTAATGTAGATTCCAGTGGAATACGTAACTTCTGCCTTGTCTCAGTAATTTTGTAAGTGCTTTTATAATCCCAATCTTCTATCCCCACTACTTTCTACCTCGTATGTGAAAGGCCTACTAGAACTACCAGAGCTTGTGAGGAGCTGACTGTAAAGCAAGGATAGGAAAACTAGGCATCAAAAGATGCAATGAGGTGCTCAAAGTCAACGGCACAATCTCCTGGTGAGGCTTGTGTAGGTACAAGCCAAACCCACACTTTTTAACAGTATGGAGCAGAAGAGAGCTGCTTTTCAGAAAAAAATGTTTCTAATGCAATACCACCTGAGGAAGAAGAAATGGAAATAAGGTCATATTCATAATCTTTTCATATTATTTATGTGTGTGGGATTACAGGCAGTTGTACATCTGAGTACACCAACTAAGCCAAGCAGATCCACACTGCTGAAAAGTAATCAGTTCAAAAGATCCAATTAAATGTTTCACCATTTAGACAAAATAAATAGCCTGCAGCTATGCTTATTTACTAATGAAAACTTTAGTAGTGCAGCATTGTAATATCTGAGCAATTTACACAGATTATTCACACTGAGTGAGCGTGAGTGCAGCATCATGTCTCGTGGGTTGAGCAGGTTTCAGGGGAGAAACAGAGGGTTGGGTAATCATATCAGAGCTTTACGAAGCAGGGTTTATTTCTGAGGCACAGTGCTGGAGCAGAGCGTATAGAAAACCCAAGTGAAAATCCTGAAGCACAGTGTCTGATCTTTAGGCATAACACTGGAACAGACTTGCAGGAGAAGGGACTCCCAGGTAGAGAGCATAGGATAAGAGTAAAATCCCTTTAAAACTCTTTTTTGCAGCACTGTCAATCTTTTTTATCCATGGCTTGGCATTCAGCGTATTCATAATGTAGTTAGAAGTTATGTAACTTAAGACAGCCTCTGAGTCATTATTAAATGAGTAACTTGAAGAATTACAATATTGAAAACATGTAGCTTTATCCTTCACATTAATTTACACAGATCTTAAATAAATTTTAAAAATCACTCACTTTAATTACTAAAATAAGGTATTTCAAATGACAGGTGTGATTTGTTCATGCAACTTCTGAAATGCAGAAGCCTCAGTACACGTTTATCATTCATGCTTCGACTGGACCTCCAGGTCAGTTCAAGGCAAATTCCACTTGACTCACTACGAGTCTCCTGAGCTTAACACGGCTCTTCCGTTTGCAAAAATGCGTATTCAGCATAAATGCATCTTAGCTCTAACAGGAAGGTAAAACTTACTAATTTACAGAATTGGCTGCTAAGGCAACGTGATTTCACAAGGTCCTTTGGTTTCCCTCTACAATTGACAGGACGAGGACGATTTCAAATGGGGGGTGTGGTGGGGGCAACCCTAAAAGAACTTTAACACATGCGTTCTCCTTGAATAATTAAAAATATTATAGTCTATATCAATTAGGAGCAATTATTTATAAAAATGTTCACCTATTGCAGTTTGCATATAGAAAAACGATCACATTTTAACAAGGGAAATGGGAAATCGCTATGGGATGCCCTACTTAGATTAAATTAGCAAGAAACTTGTTATCGGACCATATAAAAGATACACCATAATAAGACGTGACCTTGCAGAACCTTGGAGCCAATCCGTGATTTTTTCCCCCTGTAACCCTTCCTAATTATCTGAAAAGTTACAGACCCTTTTGTGGCAGGTTATTTTTCTGTGAATAGCGAGGGGTTTGGGGCTTTTAAATATTTAATTAGTCTTCTGATATGCGAATTGTTGCACATGCCAACTGCTTCGATTTTCAAACTGTGTTCATCCTAATTATGTTCAGATTTAGATTGGTCATCCCAAACCTCTCACTCTTGTAATTATTTACTCCTTAAAGATCATTCAGCGGAGAAATATTTTTCACCCTTATGGCTCTTTCTTTCCACAAACGGCTTTTCTGGTCCGTTAATTACCCACTCAGAGGATTACAGTTTGTAATAATGCAAGAGATCCTGCATGTAAGATGAGTTTTACAGGGTGAAAAAGAATAAATTGTTTTTTGTAAACTTGCCTCAGGGAATATCCCCTTTTTGGGTTATAATTTTCATCAACAGAGGCCATGTGCCCACCACTGCATATCTACCAATTCCACAGGGCCACAGAGTGACTCATTTCTACAGCTCAACAGAACTTGAAGCAAAATGCTGAGCAAGAGGCCAAAAGACAACGTGGTTATTTTACGAGATTTATAAAAGCACAATCTGCTAGCAAGATGGTATGGTCCTTTTTCTCATCATCTTAAGGCAGATTTTCAGGGCTCTAAAGTTATATATATTTAACCGATAACTAATAATAAAATTACAACTTTTCTTATTTCATCTGCTGATTTTTTTCCAGAAGTGCTGTCCCTTAGCAGATCTTTAATCAACTCTGTAACAGTGGTGTCATTTCCTATTAAAACGTGTCTGAGAGTCCTTATTACAAGTACTTTCTTTTCTTCTGAGAGGAATGTCTGTCACAAAAGCACTGTTATTCATTACCCACAGTGATGTCTGGATCTAATTATCATCTGGAACGCTTGTAGGGCTTCCAGGTATTGGACTTCCTCTGCAAGAGTATCCTTCTGCTCTAACTTGGAAAGCACAATCCCACTTTCTTCTTTGCAACTTGAAGCTAAGGTATTAAGTTACTCATTTGAGCTGTGCACACTCTGATTCCTGGAACTTCCAGTTTCAAGCCCAGCAAAGTTTAGGGTGCTGCCTGCATTTGCTTCTTTTTACATCTGCAAAAATCCTGCATATTCTGTGGTTGGTTTTTACGCAAGTCAAGCAGATTCACCTCTGTAAATAACACAACAGAAAATTCTCTGGCTTGACTCTGTCAATGCACAGATAATCTTTAATTGTGTCAAAAATACTCATCATCTAATCCTTTTATCAAACTGTCTACCACTGAAGGAGTCTCATGCGCCTGCACAATTAAAAACCCCATGTTAGCCATACATAATACTGTATTACGTTTGATGCAAACCCTTTTCTATTGAAATAAGCACTGGGCTGACAGCAGGAAGTGACTGATAAGAAAGCAACAAGGCATTGCTGATGGCATTCATGATAACTGAGCACTAACTCATATGTGTTCTGTCTACAGTACATTACCCAAAGTGCTCCTGTTTTAAATGTGACTCCAGGAGGTGTTCTTTTGCTGTATCTCTGGCACAAAGGCAGCAAAATTATCTAAGAAAGCTAAGTATACAAAGTAAATTATGTTTTTCATATCCACC